CATCTTCTTCTTCTTTCTTACTTCTTCTTCTTCTTCTTACCCTCTCTTTCCTCTCAAGTTCATTCATTTCTTTTTGCAATTGGACGGCATTGTACGATCTGATGAATGTGAACTTCGAAATTGATCAGGATCATAACATTGGTATCAGAGTGGATTCTACTTGCTGGTGAGAGTTGACTTTGCTGCCCTWACCCTAACCTAAGTGGTTGAGGGCACCACTTAGGGTTAGGGTTGGTTGTTAAGGGAAGTGGGGCAGCATGGATAAGGTAAGCTGCCCCCACCTGGTTAGGTCATGTGGGGTCGACATTGAACCTAACCAGGTTGCTTGAGAGTAAGTTTGGGGTGGCGAGACATTTCGTGGAGACTTCATGCGACAAGTTGAGAGAGGCGAAAGTGAGAGGCACTCGCACCTGGAATCCGAGTTAAGCGAGACACTTGGCAACTTAAGGGCTGCCCTCAAGYAGGCGAACTTTGAGGGACAGCGGCCATTCAACATCTACGGACTGCAAGTTGCTACTTTGTTCTTCAGCATCGGTCGGGGATCCGGCGTTGCACTTGGGTGTTGGAGTCAGACCCTCCTAGGAGATAGGACACTAGTGTACGAGTAGCGTTAAAGGGGTCAGGAGGATCATATGAGAGGGGGGTGAGTTCTATTCATCTCGATGATCACGCCACTCAGGTAAGTGTCGTGCACCTATGGGATGCCCATGTATGTGTGTGCATGGTATTGATTGTCCTGTTGGGGTTATTCTGGGTTTCTTTCCTACTGCTCTATGGTTTTGATTGTGTGATTGAAGTATGTGAACTACTCACTCACTTGATGGATGAAGAAATGAAGTATCTTGATTTAAATGTCGAGTCTTTCTACAGTGGTTTGTCTATTCATCTCTGAACGGCTGTAGTCTGTAGGTTATGCCGGAAGCTGAAACTTGTTTGTCAGTACAGTAGAGGCAAAAACTAAGTCCATTGGGACTCYTCTTGGATTGGGACTCAGTCACAACCTACGTGGGACCCTTTCGGACCGAGTGGGTCCGGGCCCAAGCAAGAAGGGCCCCTTGGACTCAAATCTGTTTAAACGTTGGTGCRTTSTCTGTCTGACTGGGATCCGGAGTTTATTCTTCTTGGTTAGGACGCATGCTGCCGAGGGGATCTCGGCTGAGGCGTTTCGTCATATTTTGATTACACCGTATGTGGCTNGGATCCGGAGTTTATTCTTCTTGGTTAGGACGCATGCTGCCGAGGGGATCTCGGCTGAGGCGTTTCGTCATATTTTGATTACACCGTATGTGGCTTGACTCGCGCCCAATACACCACTCAATTTTCCATTGTTGGATATAGTCACTCGCTGTCTGATTTGCTGTACGGTCACGGGACTGGTCAGACTGGACTCGAGAGGACCTCGTATGCAGTCTGATCAGACTTGGTCATGTGAATTTGTTTTTTTATTTTTTTGATGCTCTCTAGTTTAAATGAAATGCCGATCCGGCTAGGAGTTCTACCTTCTCTGTCATTGAGCTTTTCATATTGTTTCTTTCTCTGAGTTCAGTCTCAATGACCGTGGCGATTCGCAACCAGAAAGAGGAGAGAGAGAGGAGGGAGAGAGAGGAGGGAGATAGAAAAGAAAGAGAGGGAAAGTGACCGTCTGGAGTGGGCAAGGACTGGGAAACGGAGTGTTCGTCCAAGCGAAAAGGAGTGTACCTCTTGAGAGTCTGATTGATTCTTTTGCTGATTGGCGTCGCTCTAATCCCCCTGTCGACGATAATGGTCCGAAAATGGCCCAGCCACAGCTAACTTCAGCGCAGTGGCGAGCCCTGTTGAATGCAGCCGCTGATGCGGAAAAACCATATCTACAAGCACTCTTAGATGTTGTTGTTAGAAGCGAACAGGAAACAAAGGAGGAGAGGAAGGAGTTGTTACTTACGAGTCAGGTGGCCATTTTAAAAACTATTCCCTCGCTGAGCAAAGAACAGTGTGAGGAACGGCTGCAGTCTATACTCACCGCTTTGGTTCAAGTCCGCAATCTTGAAGATCATAACACTCAGATCTTCAAAGTATTCGCAAAACTGCAGGCACTTTAGAAGGATCTGACTGATATGACCGACAAGTACCTTGACTTGACGAAGGAGGTTGCTGCGCTGCGTCAAGCCCAAGTGACCAACCCTCTTCCTCTACCCCCTGGTTCTGGAGTTGCGGTTGTATCTAGTCTTGCCCCTCTTACCGTATCTTCTTCTACTTCTTCTTCTTCTTTTTTGAGTGTGATGGCAAGCGCTTTGGGACCTGCAGTAGGTGCAGATTCCGTTGTTGTTGTAACAAGCGACGAAGCGGGAAATTTTGCAACTGCTGCAGCCCCAAGATCAGAACCAGCAGGTGCTGGTCCCAGCTACGCCGGTCCCTTTGTGGATCGCAAGGCGGTGCAAATACCGTCTAAGTACGACAGTAAAGAAGACGTGGAATCCTGGATCAGCTCCATGAGAGCGTACTTTGAGGTTCTGGGGACTCAACCGGAGATCCAGTCCGTGATCATGGGAATGAACGTCGAGCCGATTATACGGGGCTTCCTAGAAGTCCAAGCTACGCGAGCTGGAGTTCCAAAGATAGATCTAACAAAGTGGCTTAAGACCACCCTGGTTGCCAACCTAGAAGATCTTCTCATTGCACAATATGCAGATCCACATGCTGCAGCGAGGGCAAGAGCCAGCTTGACAAAATCAAACGCAGCAAGTGGTCGGGCTCCATGAAAGGCCTTCAGACTTACCTCAGCAAGATGTTTGCCACCCCGGGATTAGAAATGACTGATCAATCTTGCTTGGATGTCATGAAAGGCGTGATTCCCACTAACTTTACCAATCGCCTAGGCAGGGACTTCATTGGGTACACTGACTGGTTCGCTTTGATGAAGGACATAGTCAGTCTCGAGGCTATAGACCTCGTTTCCGCAACAGGCAGCAACAAGCCCATGAGCGGCAGGCGGTTCAAAGGCAGCAACTGCTTTGCTGTGCATGACCTGTTGGAGGCTGAAGAGGAGGCCTATGCAGATGACCCCCCTCTTGGTGACGACCAAGAACAGGACGATGATACAACCTGTTCCTCGTCAGCCCATGAGTCTGATGCAAATAATGAAAAAGAGAAATTTACTGCCTTTAAAAATACTGCCCATGCTAAGGGACCGAATCGGAATTCAGGGAAGAACTTTGTCCAACTTCCCAAGGGACTCAAAATCTCAGCGAAACTAGAGGATGCAACCACCACACCGTGGGTTGACCTCCCGATCACTGAAAATGATTGGAGGATTAGGCTCAAGAAAGGATTATGCCTACATTGCCAGAAACCAAACCACAAAGTTCAAGACTGTTATAGGCTGCAGGGAAACCAGAATCGGGCGTAGAGTGGACATCAGTACCCTCTACGGCAAGGGAGACTGAACTTTATGAAAATTAGCAGCCCTCCCTTGAAGCCCCATCGTCTGCTGATTCCAAGGCTGAAGCTTGTCATGCCTTGTATGTTGAGCCTTGGGAGGAGTCTGAGATGGTTGACTTCCACTATCACTTGGAGCATTGGGCTGAGATGAAACAGCAGCGTGCTCAAGGGACAGTGAAGTTAATCTTCTTCAAACTTCTCATAAACTATCGCTATCTTCGTGTGTTGATTGATTGTGGTGCTACGACTAACTTTATGTCGCCATACGGGATATGCAAAGTGGGCTTGGGGATGAAGCGAGTGGCTTTGCAAAACCCTTGTAGGACTCAAGTAGGCAACAAAGAGGTTGTCTCTTCTACGCATGTAGTCAAAGGTGTGCGCACTACCTTTGACAAGGATAAAATAGTCACCCATGCTTTGAACTTCTATGTCCTTAACAAGTGTCCCTTCGACGCAGTCCTTGGCTTGGGCTGGTTGCAGTACTARTGCATATGGACGAAGTGGAAGGAATCTCTTTTCATGGTCAAAGATGCTCAAGGGAACATACTTCCTGTCCTTTTGGATGAGAAGCACAAGTCCCAAATGACTTTTCTCAATGCCATGCAGTTTTGCAAGAAGTGGCGCAAACACAAGGAGGATGAACAAATGTATGTTGCCTATGTTCGCCCTACTCATGTGTCATCTACTTTTGAGGCTAGTACCCATACTACTTCACCTAATGAGTCTACTTGTAGTACTTCTACTTCTCTACCTTCTACTAGTCCAAATGACTCTACTTCAGATTCAGTTGCATTCATTCAAAATCTGCGACCTGATCTAGGTGATCCCTTTGCTGATTCTCCACCCGCCACCGGTCCCCACGAACATCCAAAACCTAGTCGACCGATTTCCGGAAGTTTTAGCCGAACCACGTGGAGTCTCCACGCGATCGGTCTGACACACGATCGAGTTGGTTGAAGGTGTTGTTCCGCCAAACGGTTGTGTACACCAAATGGGATCTGGTAAGTTGGAAGAACTCCGGAAACAAATAAATGAGATGATCGACAAGGGATTGATACCAAGCGAATCTGAATTTGGTGCACCTGTTTTGTTTGTCCCAAAGAAAGGAGGCAAGCTCCGCATGTGTATTGACTATCGCGGTCTAAACCGCATCACAAAAAAGAATGCATACCTATTGCCACGCATAGATGATTTGCTTGATGCTGCAAGTGGGTGCAAGGTTTTCTCCAAGATTGATCTCAAGTCTGGGTACCACCAAACTGAAGTCGATCCTAGGGACCAGCACAAGACTGCGTTCAAGACACGCGATGGGCTTTATGAATTCACCGTAATGCCCTTCGGTCTCACGAACGCGTCGGCCACCTTTCAATGTCTTATGGACAAGATTCTCCGCGAACAGATTGGTCGTTTCGTGGTTGTGTATCTCGATGACATTCTGATTTTCAGCAAGTCAATCGAGGAACACATGAAGCATCTTGAGGAAGTGTTCACCATCCTCAAGAAAACGCAACTTCATCTCAACTWAGAGAAATTTCAGTTTGGGAGGGATAGCGTCATCTATCTTGGGCATYGGTTGTCTGTTGCAGTCCTTAAGCCTGAGGAAACCAAGGTTGAGGTCATACRCGATTAGCCTCAACCCGCGAACATTTGCGAATTGCATTTTTTCCTTGGTCTCACCTCATACTATCAGAAGTTTGTGCCTCAATTCTCTATTGTTGCTCGCCCGTTGTCCCGATTAACAAGTAAGAACTTAACCTACACTTGGGATGCAACGTGTGAGACCGCATTTCAAGCCTTGAAAAAGGCCTTGGTAAGTTACTYTGTACCCCATATTGCAGATTCCGAACTAAMATTCGTATTTACTACGGATGTGAGYCAGTATGGGATTGGTGTAGTGCTGCAACAAGATGACGACGATGGCTTGCRATCGCTCAAATACTACAGCAAACGCATGCCTAGCGAAAAGGTAACTACTTCCACCTACATGCRCGAGCTTTATGCTTGTGTATGGCTCTGGGCCATTGGAAACACTATCTTTTGGGACGCCACTTCGAAGTGTTAGCAGATCACTAGACTTTGAAGTGGATCAAGGATCAACCCACCTTGTCCCCTACGTTACTTCGTTGGTTCCATGAAATTGACATTTTTTATTTTGAACTGAGGCATAAAAACAGTTGTTATAATCGAGTTGCTGATGCATTGTCTTGCCACCCCGAGTACATGACTTGCCTTGTGGATTCCTACGACCTTTGGAAGAAACTGAAGGAGGAGATCGTAGAGCACACCGCCAAGGACYGGGACCTTAGTCCAATCCTTGAGCGGTTGAGGGMTGACCCTAATAGTCAGCCTGATTTTCACGAATATGGAGGGCTGGTTTTYCGACGCTATGAAAAYAACGACCGCTTGTGTGTTCCCAACCATGAGCCTATCCACACGCATTTCTTGGACTTGGCTCATGGCCAGAGTGAACACTTTCGTATGGCGAAAATGTATGGAAGTCTATTGAGACAGTTTGATTGGTCTGGTACGAAGGGATCTGCTGAAAAGTTTGTGGCTGAATGTCAAGTCTGTCAACGAATCAAACCATGCAGACAAAAACCCATGGGGCTACTTACACCCCTTCCCATCCCCGATGGTCCCGGTGAGTCTGTCTCTGTCGACTTCACCGGCATGGGAAAGGTAAGTAAGAATGGTTATTCACAAGTGATGGTGATTGTTGACCGTTTTTCAAAATTTCTAAATCTGATTCCTTTGCCACCTCATGCCCCAACCGAATTGGTGATCCTTAGATCGTACAGAAGTACATTCTGCAGTTCGGAACCCCGAAAACCCTTGTGAGTGATCGGGACCCGCGCTTCATAAGTACTGAATAGAAGAGCTTCACGTCTCAACTCCCTGGCCTCAGACTATGCATGACATCTGGCCGACATCCCGAAGCCAACGGTTTGGCTGAGGAGATCAACCAGACTTTGTTCCAACTTCTCCGCGCTTTGATCATTCCGGATCAGGAAACGTGGGACGAAGAGCTGTATTTCGTCAAGGGGTTGTACAATAACTGCATCCATTCTTCCATCGGCATGACGCCAAACAGGCTGCATTATGGTTGGCAGATTCCATGAACAGCCAGCTGGTTTAACACCCGGCAGGCCTGGCTTCAGCGCCAAGTACGATCGCTTGCTCAAAGTTGCCATCGCAGCAATGACCAAGCGACAACACGCAATGATCCATCATGGAAACAAGAAGCGCCTACCTTCAGATATAGAAGTGGGAAGCTATGTCTGGGTCAAGATGTCTGAAGTCTCAGAAGAAGAGGGAGTGTCCCGCAAACTTCTCCCGCTCTACTACGGTCCGTGGGAAGTTCTGGATGTGATTGGCAAGGATGGGTCCGGCCCCTCGTACACGGTTGCTGTGCCGCCCCACCTACGCACATACCCCGTCTTTCACGCATCAAAACTGTATATCCACCGTGATGCTAAGTCTCTCGATTACGGTGAAGATATGATCCCTCGTGCGATCAATGGCGGTCATGAGATAGATAGGATAAAACAGCATGTAGGAAAGGTACGTAATAGACAGTACCAGGTTCACTTTATGTATCGCCATTAGACAATCTCTAGTGGATCTCCAAGAAGGAGCTGCTGCGCAGCGAACTCGCGTTGTTAAAGCCTATGAGCGACAAAGTGCCACTGATGCTGTGCCTAAAATATCTGCCAAACTCCCTGCTACAGAGTACACTCGAAATCTATTTGCTTTGTTTGCTTATGATGYGTTCGTTGGGGACTCGGAATGAGTTACTCGCTCGAAGGGACCTCGCTCTTGARGGGGGGGGAGTGTGGTGACCCGCCGAAACASKGACTGAGACACAGCTGATTTCTGAGTTTTGCTCATAGGATGAATGCCTTACTGGGTTTCCCGCTTSTTGCTGGGTTTGTTAAGTCTGTGTGTGTGCTTGTTTGCTGGTCTGCATGCCTGTCTGAGTGCTTGTGTGCTTGAGTGTGTGTGTGACCCGTAAGGGSACTTGTTCGTTCATTGGGCCCRTAGGGCCGGTACTTACCTGTGGCCGTGGCATCGAGGGTTGCAGCAGGGAGARACRCTCAAGTGGCGGGAAGAGGCCCGCAGCACGTGAAGCAGCGTGAAACACTCAAGTAGCWGGTAGGCCGGTACCACACCCCGAAGAGGTAGATGTGCCGGGTACTCGAGGCCGAGCACAAGAAGACAAAAAGTTGGCATTTTTAGAGGCCGGTAGCTGTAGGCTAGGTCTAGGCGGGTACCAGTCCCACCAGTCTGAGTCTAGGGCCTGTACGGGCAATATCAGAGTCTGCAATGATGTTTCCCTCTGGAAGTGAGGAGGCACCGGTTGCTTGGGAGG